ATGACCCAGGGAAAGGGCTGTCCCACATGTGTCTAGATTTTCTGGTCTCTGGACTTCCGTGTCAGAAGACAGCAGCTTAACAGTTGTCGAGGTTGTGTTGACATTTTATGGGACTAGGATCTTAAAAATGACTCAAATTATTTTATTGTTGTTATATTGATACTGATCATTAATCATCAAATCATCTTTATGCTATTAATAAATGTTTCTAAGACTGATTTGTCTAGAACTCGAAAGCGATATCTTGAAAAGTTAAGTGCATCTACTCATATTAAAGTCTTAGCTATGTAAAATAGAGATCAAACTCTTATTTTCTAAGAGTGTATGCTCTTATAGGACTGATAAATATTAAGGTGGGATAGAAGGGATATGTTAGACTTATTCAAGGGGTGCTGTAGAAATATTCAAGAAGGTTCGATCAGACGTGGAAATCCAGAAAAGAAACTAAGGCATAAGCCAAGGTTGGAGAAGTCCTAGGGATTTAAAGATTTTCAGTATCTGCCGTTAGCAAAGCAGAGGCACTTAATTGTTTAGCGCTTTAAAAAAGAGCGTTTGGCAGAATTGTTAAGGTTTCAGTGATACGCTTGGAAAGATTTCTCTCTGCCTCTGCACTGCTGGATTGATCATTCAGGTTCTCACATTTGATAAAACCTTGGCCTGGAGACACCGTGTGTTAGTTACATGGGCGTGTAAAGACAGGACTGTTGAAGTCAACACTGAATATGAAAGTTATGTAGGATTGCCATGGCACTTCCATAGGGGTTTTGAGCAGTGCTGGAGAAATCTTAAGGAAGTTATTCCAAACATTTTTAGATGCTGTAGTTGCCTTAAAATACATTATTATCCTGTTGCAGCTCATCACATGGTTACCACATTCAGAAGTTCGCAGTTGGAAGGGTATTTGAGAATGTGTGTAGGTATTTTCGATTGTCAGGATTATTGGAGGCACTGCTAGTGTTGATTGCTCAGAGCAATGTTAAATGCCCATAAGGAAAGGGACTGTCTTGCTCAAGGAGTTGGCCAGTCCAAAATGCAGGGTTCTTCTGTTGAGAGACTCTGCCCAGGTCTTACTTCTTTGCCTTTAATACTTACCCTTGTTTCTGATATAGTTGAATAAAGAATTAAGTTTTTAAAATAACATTTGAGAATTCACTGTCAGATTTACAGTGTTTTTGTTGTTGTACAGTATTTTATGTATATAGATTGACAATTTTGTGAGTCCAAGAGGCAGAGAGGAAAAAATGAGGGTCTGGTTTTTAGCAATTAGCTATTGGAAGTAATAGGGAGGAGGCTCTCCCCACACAGATATATAGTGAATCTTTAAGAAAAAGATGTTATGATTTTTCTTTTCTCTGAAAGAAATAATAAGTGCATTCTCATTTGGACAGAGAGGAAACAGGTAGTGTAGAAAGAAAAGATTATTAATTATGTAACAATCTGAATTATATTCTAACCTTTTTTTAATTAAGAAAAGATGATAGCCTGGGCAGGCTGGCTGCTCACGCCTGTAATCCCAGCACTTTGGGAAACCTAGGCGGGCGGATCACGAGGTCAGGAGATCGAGACCATCCTGGCTAACAAGGTGAAACCCTGTCTCTACTAAAAATACAAAAAGAAATTAGCCGGGCGTAGTGGCGGGTACCTGTAGTCCCAGCTACTCTGGAGGCTGAGACAGGAGAATGGCATGAACCCGGGAGGCGGAGCTTGCAGTGAGCTGAGATTGCGCCACTGCACTCCAGCCTGGGTGACAGAGCAAGACTCTGTTTCAACAAAAAAAAAAAGAAAAGAAAAGAAAAGAAAAAGATGATAGCCTGGGCAACAAGGTGAGACTCCGTCTTTGCCAAAAAAATTAAAAAAAAAAAAAAAATTAGCCGGGCATGGTGGTGCAAGCCTGTTGTCTTAGTTACTTAGGAGGCTGAGGTGGGAGGATCATTTGAGCCCAGGAGTTCGAGGCTGCACTGAGCTGTGATTGTGTCACTGCATTCCAACCTGGGTGACAGAGTACTACCCCGTCTCCAGAAAAAAAGAAAAACATGAGATTCATTGAGATAATAAAGAATACAATGTTTTAAGTACTATTTTAGTTATTCAGTATCAGATGTTAGGATATCTCAGCTGTCTGAATTGTGCCTATGAGCCAGCAATGACAAAAGGTGAGGAAAAGAAAAGAAGTGTTAAAGAGGGAAAACATGAAAAGCAGATGATAAGAAGAAGGCAGCGTCCCAAAACAGCAGCTCCATCCTCCCATGCCCTCAGGACAAAAACCTCAGTGCCATCCCTGACTTCCTTTCTTTCTTTCATGCCTAAGATCTAAAACTGCAGTACATCTTGGGTGCTCGAGACCATCATGGTCAACATGGTGAAACTCTGTCTCTACTAAGAATACAAAAATATTGACTGGGCATGGTGGCGCACACCTGTAGTACTAGCTACTTGGGAGGCTGAGGCAGGAGAATTGCTTGAACCCGGGAGGCGGAGCTTGCAGTGAACCGAGATCACACCACTGCACTCTAGCCTGGTGACAGAACGAGACTCCATCTCAAAAAAATAAATAAAATAAAAATTCTATCCATCCCTCCCTCCGTCCGTCCATCCAGGATCCAGTTACTTCTCACATCTCTTCTACTGCCTGAGCCATGCCCCCATCGTCTCTTGGTTAGATTGGGCATCAGCCTCCCACATTGCTTCTTCATGTGCCCCTCACCGACTGTGTACCAGCCACACCAGCATCCTGGCTCCCTCTCTGCTTCCCCAGGCTCGCAGCCTTGTGAGGCTTCTCGCTTTCACTTCCACCTCCACCTCCATATAACATTTCTCCCCATACTTTCCTATTCGAAGCTCGTCCCTTTCCTGGCTTTTATGTAGACTGCCCCTTCTGAGTCCTTCTCTGACCACATTGTTGAATTTGCACACATAGAGGTAGAGACAGATTGTGATAACTATCTCCCTCTCCATAACTCTTTATTTTTTTCTAAAGCACTTTCATTTTCTGGCATGCCACATATTTTACTTACGTATTTACTGTAGCTGTCTTCCCCAAAAGGGCAGGGATCTTCCTTTCCACTGCTCAAGGGCAGTGCTTGACACATAGTGGGTGCTCATTGGGAGGCAGGAGTAAAAAATGGGTGAAATGTAGTTTAGGTGCTTTAGCAGAAACCAAAATTATGAGACCTTGACCGAATTATCTTAAGCTCTTGTTAATTGAGGATGCTGGTGCTGTGCTTATTTTGGTGAAGGGGACCTGAGCTGGTTCACTGAAGGCAGCACAGTGCCTGCTGGTCCTTGGAAGAAGCTTCGTAAATGATAGTGTGATCATAATACCGATGATTCTTGTGAGAGGGAAAAGGCAAACAAAGGGAAATGGTAAAGCATTATAGCTCTTTCCAAACATCTTTTATTAAAACATTTGCATTTTACCGTAGAGGTATTTTGTTCTGTTCCTCAAAGAGAACTCCCCTGAGCCGGTGTTAATACATCTACCCATAAAAGCTTTGTAAGAGGACAAGTGAAACCCCTGACATCTTATTCACCTGGGGGAATAAGGTGTCATGCAGGGCCACCGCGTGGAATTGGATAGTAGTCAGTAGGCATTTCTGGTTGAGGGTCAGGTGTGCACATCTGAGAGATGACTAACCTCATCACTATTTAATACCAAAATACACATTTTTAGCTTGATAACAATCTTAAGTCTTAGAGAAGAGGGTTGATTATGTTCAATATATGATGCTTACTAAGGCAGGACATGTAAATACAGATGAGAAAGATGCTCAGTATTAAAATGTAAAGGAATGGACTTCATGGTTTAACTTTCAATTCTCTGGCCTTTTTTTTTTTTTTTCTGAGTACTTGCTTACCAAGAGTTTATATTGGTTTGGCTAGCAGTGCGCTCTCTAACAAGATGCAATCTCATGGAATACATCCTTATGCCAATGATGAATAAAAGTAGTTCAGACGGCCAGGCCCTAACTTAAATATAGTGCTTTTGGTGGTTAAGGGTGATCAGGTGAGTGGTTAAATAGATCAAGAAAAGGAAAGAAAAATCCAACTACCTTATTAAAAAACAAGGGTAAAATATCAAAACAGTGGGTAGGCAGTAGGAAGAATGTATTCTTTGGGTTATTGACAATTAGAACATAATGTTACAATGTAAGCAGAGGCTTGTGAGTCAAGGAAGGAAAGATAAGTTATAAACAAGTACATAAAGAAATAGGAGAATTATGCCTAATGGTGTATGTATATAAACTTGTGGGAAATGTTTAGAACCTTACAGTGGAAGTTCTACTTAAAGTGTCGTGATTTAATATATTTTGAATTACATCATATGACTCTTAAGGCATACATTGCAGAAAGGACCATTTTCAGAGATTATTATTTAGAAACAAACATGTCATATGCACTTACAAGAAATAATTTTGTCTTCTTAATTTACTGTACTATGAATACATTGAACACGGGTTTTTAAAGGGACAATGTAGCTGTTTCCAAACATCTTTTATTAAAACATTTGCATTTTACTGCCAGTTTTTTGTTCTTTTCCTCAGAGAGACCTCCCGGTGGCCAATGTTAGTAAATTCACCTTTCTAATTCAGGAACTTGAAAAACAGAATAATGTAATGGGGTCTAATGGTGTTTACATTCAACACAGTATTGGTAAAAGAAAAAGAAGGACACTTATATTGCATAATAAGGTACTCAATAATGCTTTGTATTTCTATTAACAAAGCTAATTTATTTCTTCGTAGGAATGATGCAGTTCCAAAGTAAAGATTTGATGTCATCCTAATGAGTCTGCTTTCAGTTGTAGAGTACAGTGAAGCCCTAGTAAAGAGGAGTAAGAAATCTATTTTACTGGAGATAATAAATCTGACAAGGAAGCTCTCAGCATAGATTGAAGTTGATTTGGCATAGAGTTGCTTTATAAATAGCCCTTTGAGCAAACTCTACAGTTCTGTATGTGGTTTTAAATCCCTGTAAATTTGTAGGCAGGTACATATTACAATTGTCTGTTTTTCTTTTTAGGGTTCATGTAATCAAAGAAGTTTCTTTGTTGTGTGTATCTTTACAGAACACAACAGGAATTGAAAATGAATCAGGTGAGTTTAAAAATCAGAATTTATACAAATACATGACCTAGATGTTAGACCAGCTCTTGATTTTTACAAGATAGTAGCACACACATTCATTTCTCTTGGATTCTCATTTTTGTTTCTTAATACCATTAATTAGTTCATTGCGTTCATACTGTGCATTTGTTCGTGCAGTGGATGGAATGTGCGTTGTTGGGGCGTGGGTTGGCGTTTCTGTGGTTCCCTGAGTAGAGGACTCATTCTTAGGGATTTTCATTAAGACTTTCTTTTTGAATTCTCCCTTTCCACACTCTAGTGTGAGTTTTTTGTGTGTGTTTGTTTTGAAGCTTATTAAGCTTTCATTTTTGGCATTTTTTATTTCGTGATTATCTGTTGGTTGAAAAGAGAGGATTAAAAGTTATTTATAGAGACCGCAAATGTTCAAAGAAGAAACTTTAAGCATTTTGTCCTTGAAAAACCTGTTCTCAGAATAAAAACAAGAGGGCAGATATTGAAATGTAAGATGTGTTTCTCTTTACAGGAGATGTGGGATTACCTGGTGATTAAATTATTCTGCTATGGATATTTTCATAGCCTCCTCAAGGGTGTTCTGATAAGTAGAACCAGTTATGTGGATCTAATAATATATTCTAGAGTAGGATTCTTATTTTCTGGTTTCAATATCATCTCACTTGTAGTTATAGAAATTCGTGGGTGTCAGAAATGTTCTCTTTTTAAAATCTTCATAAGCACTTATTTTTAAAATAAGAAGGACAAAACCAAAAATATGAAGTATGTAATTTTTTTTTTAAGTCCTTAACTTAAAACTCTCAGACTTGAGAACATTTTGTATCCCTCATCAACTGAAACTTCGGACACCTTTTTATCATTTACAGGTGATTCTAACTAGAGATCACAAGTTCAATTTAATTAGCGGGGCCAAGTTTAATAAATTCAGTCCTGTGTTGCATTGAGAGATGTGAAATTTTTGAAATGGATCCTTTTGATTTCTTTTCATTACTTTCTTTATCAGAAATGTTTATTTTAATGCAGAGGACGTATATCATAAAAAATGAATCTGGCCAACACATGGGGCACATGCTTTCTATTATTTTAAAACTTGCAGATTTATTGACATGCTTTTGAAGGCAAATTATTTTTGAAATGGTGAGGTGGGGGAGGGAAAAGAGAACAAAGTGGATTTCACAGTCATCGTCCATCAAAGTTATGCTCATATATATTTCATAGATTTCATTTATTTTCCTATTTTAAGATTGATTCTTAATATGAACCTGGTCACTCAAAGGAGCTCAGTTTTCTATCGTCTAGGAACTGTTTTGTTGGAGGAATCTTGATCCAGTGCTAGAATGGTTGTGAGTTCTTCCAAAGTGGAATCTAAATGTTGATACTGTTCTTGTTGCATTGCTATTCAGAATCATTTGTTTGATGTGTCTACACCTTTAACCTTATGATTAATTATGCCTTAATTCTTGTACAGTATTAGGCTTGTAATATTTCTAGTGTATTAGACTTGACACTTCAAACTTTTGCTTTATATTTCAATTATATCAAACTTGTGTTTAAAAAAGTCTGCATGCCAGTCAAAAAGTGGTAGCAATAACTACTTCTTCTTTTTTTTTTTTTTTGGGCTCTTTTACAATTTGATTTTTGGCAAGTTTTAATATCAGATCTGCAGAAGACTGCCTTTGATCCTAAATGCCAAGTATCAGTGGAAAAGTGTCCTCTTATGTTTCTAATGGTTAACACATTTCTGATTTGGGTGTAATTTAAATGGTCTGGTAGTAATGAAACTTTTACTTGTATTATAAAAATTGCCCACTTTTTATGAGAAAAATTTTTAGCATCTTTTGTTGTATTTTCATTAGAAGAATATTAGTTATATGCTGTTTAGACCTTATTGTTATGGCATGAAATCTATCAGTGTTTTTCAACAATCACCCCAGTAATTTTTAAGGATTAAGACTTATTTCAGGATAATTTACAGTTTTCCCTTCTCGTATTTATTGCTCTCATTTTCAGACAGTGAAAATGAGCAGTAAGTGCTTGAAAAACTGAGAAATAACCACACAACAAAATTCAGATATAAAAAAGTTTGAACTTGAACAAGATTGACTTATAAATACTTATACATACAATCCTGACGGTTATTTTAGGGTTAGGTTATTCTCTGGGAACGGATCAGCATTGCTTTGATGGATTTTAGTTGTCAGTTCTGTTTCTTATGATGTGTATGGTCTTGAAGACAATAGCATAGAATAATTTGTTTATATATGCCTGACAGTTGAGTTTCAGGGACTGCGGGATCCTCGTCATGGGCATATCATATTGTTTGTTATTGATTCCTTTAGAAGAAGCAATAGAGTCCACAGCCTGCCAGTATTTTCAGCACTAACTATTGAGGCAGCATTCTCAGATCATCGGTATCCTACTTGCTTCAATTGCACACCCATCCTGATACTTAACTTTTGAGATGTTCCACTGTTTTCCTTCTTATTTTCCTAGACTTATCTAGGAATGGCTTTATCTCGGGAATGGGTCCATTATCTCAGTTGTCCCTAACATTCATTCATTCCTTCCCTCTTTCATCAGGCACAGACTGTACCCCAGTATGTTATAGGTTCTGCAGTGAACTAGGTGGGCAAGGGCTCTGCCAGTAACATACTCCAAGAGGGAGACGGTTAAAAAAGCAGGAAGACAAGCAAGGTAATTTCAGATAGTGAACAGTGCTGTGAAGACAATTAAACAAGATCTTGTTATAAAGGATGATGGCTGGAGGTGAAAGGTGGTCTTTGGATTACATGGTCAGAGAAGACTATTCTGTGGAGGTGATTGCTAGTAGAACTGAAACTTAGCTAATAACTGGGAGCCACATAGACATATGAAGATCTGGAAAAAGAAAATTCCAGGCAGAGTGAACCCATAGTAGTAGAAAGGCCCTGGAGTAGAAATGAGCGTGGTAGTTCACAGAACAGAGAGCAAGCCATGGTCTGGAGCTTGGCCCCATCAGGGGCTCTGGGATAAGAGGACATTGGTGTGAGAGCTAAGGTTTATAGGGCCTGTAGGGCTACTGGACAGTGACACAAGCTGATTTCCATTTCTAGGATATCCTCCCCACTATGCTAGGGAAACCGGATTGTAAGGGAGCAGGAGTGTGGTGATTATGTGTGTTCACTACTGAGATTAGCACCAGGCTTTAGGACAGTTTCTTCAGTTGGACAACTTAGTGGACCTGACAGCTTTTTGAAAGAGGGTACTTTTTTGTATTTCAGAGCTAATTTGACTCCTGTTCTTTTTCAAAAGTGGTGTATAAGTGTTTCTTGGTTTGTGTTTTCATCTGTTTATTGTTATAGCAGTCCTGCTCATTTCTTAACCAAATATAATTTAATGCCATTTCAGTAAACTGAAGCTTGTTTGATTTTTTTTTCGCATTGTTTGTTCCAGCATAGTAGCTTAGATTCTTGTTTGCAAATCTATACAAAAATGGGTTGTTCATAGAATTTTAGAAATTTTAATACTGTGTGATTCTAAGCTGTTTTTTGCTTGTAACAATTACTTTGATGATGATGATTAGTCTATTGTAGCAATAATACATATTTTAGTATGAATACATTATGAATTATCCTTAATATTAAGGAAAATTGGGTCTAATGTATTCCATCACGTATTGCTGTCACTTTCCAGTTAATTTTGATCAAGTCAATATTTAAGAAACTAGGTGCTTTAAATGGATTAAACTGATAGAATAATTGCTGATATTTCTCTGGGCAAAGCATATAAAAGGAGTTACTTATATAAATTTAAATGAAACACCAATAAAATTTGCTTATTCTTATATATTTTTAAAAATAAAAACATTAGTACGTGTTGACCATGTGAGATGGTGCATGCAGCTTTATGTAACAGCAGCCAATGCCAGTGTTATGCCCTAGAGCAGAGTTACCTTGCTGATTACAGTCCACATTTGTCTAAAGAGTATGGAGAGAAGGGCTGGGCAGGGAGAGTGGAGGAGGTTGGTTCTGTGGTTCATGTACCTGGAGCAGACCTGAGGAGGGTGGAGTAAATGGTCAAAGAAGTGTGGGCTCAGCTCTCGGGTCGCCAGAAGGACCAGAGTAGACTTTGCCAGTGAGGTGGGGAAACTTTGGGGGGTTTTGAGTAGAGGACTGTTAGAGTTGAGTTAAAAAATTCTTATAAATACAAATAATGAAACTATTCTACAGGGCAGAACCAGGACTTGGTTGAAAATAATAATAATAAAAAATATTAACTTACAGTGTTTCCTATATGTCAGGCACTAGCCTAAATGCTTTACAGAAGTTCAGTAAGTCATTTACTATTGACTGCAACTGCATGAGGTGGGCACCATTACTTTCCCTATTTGACAGATAAGAAAGTGAACACAATTGAAAATATTTTCTTGGTGCATTAAAGTTTCATTTTAACATGATTTAAAGATGAGAATTTAGGATTTATTGACCTGTTTAGTTATTTGACTTTAAAAATCAACTCTGAGGTACAATCTGCATACAGTAAAAGGTAACTGCTTTAACTGTATAGTACAAGTTTCACACCCGTGTAACTCTTAACCGCTGTCGAGTCATAGGACATGTCCGTCACCCCAAAAAGTTCTTTTCTGCTGCTCTGAAGTTAGTCTTTCCCTGCCCAAGGTCACTACTGATCGACTTTCTGTTCCTACACACTGGTTTTTCCTCCTCTGGGGTTTCATGGGAGTGGAATCATACAGCCCTTGCCCTTTGGCGTTTGTCTTGTTTTGGTCTGCATACTGTTTCCGAGATTCAGCCATATTGTTGCATGTATCAGTAGTTCATTTCTTTTTTTTTTTTTTTTTTTTGAGATGGAGTCTCGCTCTGTCGCCCAGGCTGGAGTGCAGTGGCCAGATCTCCGCTCACTGCAAGCTCCGCCTCCCGGGTTCGCGCAATTCTCCTGCCTCAGCCTCCCGAGCAGCTGGGACTACAGGCGCCGCCACCTTGCCCGGCTTATTTTTTTGT